AGGAAGACATTTTGCAAATTAAAATGATCACATTAACCTCCTCTGGTGAAATTGGTTCAGTCAAATGAAAAATACTTATATATTTTTTAAACCCCACAAACATATTTTAGCTATTAAGAGGGTAATGACTATTATAATATCGAAATGGACAGAGACAAGATGAAAGAGAGAAAATAAACAAAAGAGGAAAGCTGCAAGCCCAGTAGCTAGAGAGTCATGTAAAGGGGTATAAATGCATAGGGAAGAATAGTGATGCAAATATGCCAAAATTGACACTAAAAGATAGGTCAGCTCATTGAGAATATGTCCCCTCCCCTCCTTCTCCTCTCTCCTTGCTTCCTCCCTCTTTACTGAGCCCTTTAAGAATTGCCATAATTGTGCCAGACAGTAAACAAGTGTGACTAAAATTCCAGCCACATAAAACAAGAGGGGAAGGGTGGTTAAGACATAGGGCCACAGCCAAAGATTTGTGTTTCCCCCAAACTGGGTGGAAAATCCTTTCACCGGCCCTGAAAGGATTATTGAATCTCTTAATGGTATGGAAACCAACAAACAGCGGATACTTGAGCTGTACAGGCTGGGAGGACTATTCTTTAGGTTATTTAAAGTTATGCTCAATTTTATTTCCTCCAGTGCAACAAATCACTTTTTACTCTCCAGGCTTGCCACTTTCCTTCTTGATTTGCAGAAGAATGGAAAGGGTTAAAAGCAAAGCAAAACAAAACAAAAAAACAGAGCGGGATTGAGGCTCTGCAGTTCCAAAGGTGCAAGAGGTTAAGGAGCCAGGCCCCTGCTGGGTGATTCTCTGGTCAGTTTCAGCACATCAAAGACCATGAAGGGCATGAGATTAGGTGCTGGCCAACGTGGGTTCCAATTCTAGTTTTGCATTTTACTCCTTACTCCCCATATAACCCTGGTGGGGGCAGTCAAGCCCTCAAAGTTATGGTTTTCTCCTAGGATAAAAGGGTTTAGTGAATTCAGGTAATGTTAGAACTGGGAAGGATCTCAAGGAATAATTACTTAGTTAATTTTCCTCATTTTACAGACAGAAAACTAAATAACAATCACAGTGGTTACAATAAGAATAATTATAATTTATAGCTAATATTTTTGAGCATTTAATACGTGTGAGGCACTATTCTAAGCACTTTACACAAGTATTGTATTATCACAGCTGCCCCACTTGGGAGGTAGTATTGTTACTCCCATTCTACAGACAGGGAAACTGAGGTGCAGTGAGGTTCAATATCCACGGTGGTACAGCTGGTAAATGGTATAGCTGGGTTTTTCAAACCCAGATGGCCTGGCTCCAGAGCCCATGCCCTTAAACACTCTACTTCAGTAAGCTGTGAATTACATGTTTATCCTCTTTTGCACAGGAAGTGCACTCATTTCAGGAAAAGGGTACACTAATGAATTAGTGCTCCACGTAGTCCTGTAAACACAGACACTACAGAGACGTGTTCCCAGTATCATGGCCATGACTGACAATGGCTACTCTGTTCCCTCCAGGTTCCCTGAGGTTACAGCTTCCCTCCAGCCAGGTTTTCTTTCAGCCCGCTGTCACAGTATAGTGCTGTCCTCCCAGGATGCCCCGCTCTGTGTGTGCCTTTCCCGGGTCAGACTGCCATTGCTCTTTAATTGTCTGCTGACGGTTTCTCTCTCCCTCCCTCTCTCTCTCTCTAACCATTTCCTTGACATTCACTTGAGCTGCTATTACACTTGTGTTTGAACACCCAGCACGATACTCTTTATTTCTTTGCTCCAGTACTAGCACTTGCACATTTTTTGTTAGCCATTATGGATTAAAACTGCTTCTTCAAGCAAAAATAAATGGCGGGAAGAGAGATTGTGGCAGAATAAACACCACCGTTGCAAAAGACAGGCCCCTCCGGATAGTGTGGGAGAGCACTCATTGGATAAGACTAGTTGCAGAATGGTACACTGACGCTCATTGGTTGAGAGAGGACAGTTTGCCATGGTAGTTCTCATTGGCTAACAGTACCCAGAGCCTAGGAAAAACACATTAACAGTAAGTATATGGCAACAGACTGTTGCTGAAAGGACAATAGCATTGACATCAAATTACTGCTGCATAGAGAAGTGTTAAATAGTGATGTGTGTTCTAAGGTCAAAGAGGCTTGATGACTTGTCTAAAGTTGACAGTTGGTAGGAGGTAGAACCCTACTACAACCTAGGTCCTCTATTTCTTAGAACACTAGTTTGCCATTAGGATAACACCTGACTCCAAAGGCTACTGTGAGGAACAGCTGAAATGAAAGCACACTATGACACATTCCAGACACCTGCACAAGGTCCCTAACGTCCTTTATGAACTGGCCTCACCTGCCATTTCAGCCACATATCTTCACACCTTACTGTTCTCACACCTGCTGTCCCTTCTCCTTGAAGTGACCACTTCCCCAGTCCCCTCTCATCACTCCTCCTTCTCCAATAGGAAAGATCTCTTCATCTTTCAAGATCTGGCCTTAAAGTTACTGTCTCTGTGAAGCTTCTTAGCATTTTCTGTAGTACACATGGTTAGAACACTCGCCATATAGGATTATAATTGATTGGTTATTCCTCTCCCTTTCTTAACCAGGGCACTCCTTGAGGGCAGAGACTGTATTTCATTTATCTTTGTATCTTCAGTGCCCAGCACAGGGTCTGGATCATCTTATTTACTCAATGAATATAGAAGGAAGGAAGAAAGAGAGGGAGGGAGGGAAGGTGCATCCTCTTGAAACTATAAAGCCCTACAGAAATACAAGGTATTACTGACAGGAGAAGGACACCCACTGTTTGAAGTTCTCCTGCTGTGCAGGAATGAGCTCACTGTTTTTGCAGGCACAATGCTCAGGCACAAAATGGGGCAGTGGTGATAACGCAAACAGGAAGCCCACTTCTTACCCCTCATTTACCAGTCTCATTTTCTTGGGGAAATTGTGTACCTTTTAACTAATGCCATTCACTAGCACTAATTTGGTTAGCTGAATTATCACAAAATCTAAAGAACACAGAGACTTAAGGAACTCTGTTTAATTCATGTACTAAGATACTTTATCAGGCGGCATGTAGTTAAGTGCGCTTAAATGCAATCACATAACATTTTGTTTGGCCATTTTAATCTGGGGGGGGGTTAGAAAAACCAGGAGAGAAAAGCAGCCTCCTCAGGGATTTTTCCTTACAGTACAATTTTTACAAAAAGCTGAGCGTACAACTTGCAAAATAATAAACTTCCATGATAACACAAGCTTCAGCTACAATTATCACAAAGAGCAGGTCTGCTGCTCAAGCTTCTAACTTACCCTTGTGACTACAGAACAGCCCAAAATGTCACATTCAAGTTGAAGTGACTATAGCCAATTAGGTAATTTCCACCAAATTGGGTCCATTAATACTTGGACATTATCTTGAGGGAGAAATAGGACTCAGTGACAAGGTGCAATGTGGCTTGTGAAATATTAGTTTTGGACAATCACAAATCAAGATCCAACAGTATGTTAAATTATTCAGCATTCTTGACCTCATTATTAAGTGACTTCATATGGGTTTTTGCTCATATTCATATAATCTCAGATCCAAAGAGCTTGATTTTGGTTTCCTTTTCCCAGCCATTTCCCTCTTTATGTACCAGAGGTTTTATGTATATCTCTTTATTTTTTATCCTGTTTAATTTTGTAATTTAAAGGGCAATGGCTATGTGTTTGAGGAACATACAATGAGGACACTTGCTCATATGATACCAGAAATATGAATATTAGTTAGAAATTTTGTTCCCATGTATTTTTTTGCTAGCATACCACCTCAGGTAATACAACAATCTTCCATCCAAACATCTGCCTTGGTCCACCGTGTACTGAACAGGAAGCTATGATTTATAACATATGGCTTTATAAATGAGTCAGAACCTCAAGTCCAAGGCTGCTTCTAGAAGTATTCTAAAATGATAGCAACAATATTATTTTCCAAAATAAGGGGAGAAAGCCACAAAAACACTCTAGGAAGATCACCAAAGATGTTTGCTGATTTTACTTTGTTCCAAAGATATTTGGAACAATTGGTAGTTGATGCTGACAGAATGTCTATAACTAGGCTATGTGTTGGATATTTAAAACTGTAAATCAGTGTTCCTGTAAAGTTCTAAAGAACTTTAACCAACTGCTCAATTAACCTAAGAATGTCACTAGCAGATATCATTTATATTTACAAGTTAAAATACTTTATATCTTCGAGGCAAATCAATGATATGGACCTGGAATATGAACATCACCAGATAATGTGACTAGAATCAGTGAACACCTGCCCACCCCCAAAAAATTCTTTTTGAGATTAACAAAAGAAATTAGATAGCATTAGGCTACTCATGGGACACACCGCTAGAACATTCTCTTCTTTCAGATATCTGTGTTTTGTAAATTTGGTCATAATTCATACCAAAACAAATAATTTGAAAGCAAAGACATTGAATTCCATTTCAGCATATCCCAACCAGATGGGACCAGAACAGGTGTGATCACTTTAAAGTGTTCTTTAAAAATCAACTTCTGGTTTATTCCAGAGTAGAGCTGTCAGCTCTCAGGTGCCCAGTGAAGTTGAGAATTTTTAGCAAACTAAACATAGCCATTAAAATAATATTTGAATTAGTTTTAATCACAGTGGCCTAGATTCTCATGCTGCCCAGGACCTTACAGCATCACTTCCCTGTCTGAGATCCACGGGAGGGCTGCACATGGGGAAGACTCGCTGGAGTGCAGAGCAGGAGGGAGAATTTAGGTCAATTACCTTTTGAAGTGTGATCCCTTTAAACACCTACTCAAGGTAGTATCTTGCTAACGGAGCTGTATATAATAAAAGTGACCTGTGCTGTTTCTTTAAATACTGCTTTTTGGTTATAAGCGATCAAAGTATTAAATTTGTATAAGAAAAAAAAGGATCAAGAGAAGTTTCATCCATATTCTTTCTGGAATCTATTAGGAAGGATTAGGTACGTGGTTTACCTCTCTTCAAGTCTGGGCTTCAAAGTAGGTGCATATCTCCATTTCGGCCTCCTCCAGCTGAGTCTTGGTTTTCTCCATCTGTAAGTTGAAGAGACAAGGAGTTTAGATGTCACCTCAGGACCTTTGATAATATATTAAAAAATCAAAAAATCATGAAGTAGATGAATGTGTGGGGAGGTAGGGAATGTAGGCCGGCAGTATTTGCTATGGATCCATTCCCAAAGTTTAAAAAAAAAATGTATTACGCGTGGGAATATGTGTTTTCTTTCATTAGCTCTCTGAAATTTTTTTTTTCTCAAATTATAAAGAAAAATTTGGTAGCCTTTTTAACTCTAAAAAGTAGACACCATTTTGATATGTTTATTCTTTCATTCAATAATTATTTACTGGTATCTACTATATGTCAGGCATTTTGCATCCTCTTGGGAAGACAACAGTGAGCTTAATTAATCTAATGTCTGAATTCAGGGAAAATAATGTATCAACAGTCTTTGCAATGTTAGAAAGGAATGCATAGAATTCCGAAGTAGATGGATGTATTGAAAATATGAATATCAGGCTAGGCATGGTGGCTCATGCCTGTAATCGCAGCACTTAGGGAAGCCAAGGTGGGAAAATTGCTTTAGATGAGGAGTTGGAGACAAGTATGAGTAACATAGGGAGACCCTGTCTACACAAAAATGAAAAAAATTAGCTGGGCATGGTGGTGCATGCCTGTAGTCCCAGCTACTTGGGAGGCTGAGGCAGGAGTATTGCTTGAGTCCAGGAGTTCAAGGCTACACTCCAGTCTAGGGCCACAGAGTGGGACTCTGTCTCAAATAAAATAAAATACGTATGAATGCTATTTTATTTAATTTTTAACATTTCAAAAAATGCAGAGAATAATTTTTTAAAAATCCAACCCCTTGCCAATTCTACTCCTAAGTAGTAATCACTATGAATAATTTGCTATATGTCCTTTTGGGCTTTTTTCTATCTCTATATAAACATATATAAAAACAATTTCTTAAAAACATGTGAGCAGACTTTATATCCTGATTTGTAACTTTTTCTTCTACTTAAAGGTATTTCATGAGCATCTTTCCATGTCAGTGTATATATACGATTTACCTGATTCTTTCTGACTGTAGGGTATTCCATTTATGGATGCCAAATGTAATCATTGATGACAATATGGAATGAATGGCATGAAGGTACTAGCTAAATGCAGAAGGTATAAGTTCTTGGTTTATAAATATTGTCCTATTTGGTCATGGATAAGGTCACCAACCTTTCCTGACAGGTCACTGAACAAATAGTTTTGTGATTCAAAAAATATATTTCTAGCATGGAAAATCAAAAAGTGTCTTTTAATTAGTACAACACTTGTATTGCTTTTAATTTCATGGCAAGGCTTAAAAAACCCAAACAGACTCAAAGCAACATAATTAATATAGGGAAAATCTCCCACATATCTTCAAAGAAAATGATATAAAAATCTTAAATATTACTGATAAAATCAATTTCATGGTGACAAAATAATACACACTTACTGTAGAACATTTTAAAAATATGCAGACATATAAATAAAATAAAAATCACTCTGAATCCTACAATTCAGAAATAACAACTTACTCAACAACTTTCCTTCTAGTATATATGCACACCCCCTCCCACTGAAAACAGCCTAGAAGGAGATAGATAGCTCACCAATTTATGTATGAATGTATATAAATATGTAATAGTTTATAGAATTTTGTACCCAGCTGTTATTCTTTATTATAAAGTAAGTCCATCAAAAATATATTTATTTTTAATAAGGTTAAAAAGTGAGTTCATTTCAGGCCTACAAAGAACTATGCCAATGAAATGATAAGAACCTCTTTTCTGTCACTGCCTTTCTTCCAACAGGCTTATGGGTTATTGGGAAGTTTAAGATGGCTTTCAAAGATGAATTAGTTCCACCTTGAATTTCAACAAATACCCAAATGGTGAAAAGCAAAGCACAAAATCCATTAAGCCTTGTGTTTATTATGAAATTCTGAATTTTAACCATCTAGAAATATAATCTAAGCTCAAGTTATTTTGCATCCCTCAAGACTGCAAATGCCAAGTAGAGCATGGACCTCGTCTCCAGGCCTAGGAGGCTGTAAGGGGGCAGCAGAAGGAAGAGCTCCTTGGCTTCCCCTGGGGCTCCAGTTTACACACTCACCAGTGCCGCAGCACACTCACCCTGCTTGTGGAATGGCTAGCAGAGAGTCTCACTCTCCTACCCAGGTAACTAGAAGGGTGGTAGATCTAGCCTTTGGTACACATAGAACTCCAGGTCATATTCGCATAGGCCCCCCCACAACAGAAATGTCCATGGGTATGGGGCAAATCATGTTCCGCCTACTGTCATGATCCTCAGTCACAGAAACATCAGCCAAGTCATTGAGGGGAAGGTTTGCTCCCCATTATTTGGTGAAATTTGGTCAGGGAGCAGAGATTAAGATTAATAACATTTAGAAAGAAAATCTTTAGAAGCTCATTACTGGAGCCATTCAGGAAAGAGAACAGGCTTTGGAGTCAGTGGGGTCTTTCATTTATTCAGTCAACAAATACTAAATGTGTCCACACTATGTGCTAGGCACAATTCTAGTAGCTGAGGAAGCATCAAGAAGAAAACAGACAAAAAAAAAAATCTATGTCTTACTAGAGCATACATTCTAGTGAGGGGGAGCAGACAATAAAGATAGCATTAGAGAGTGATAAATGCTGCAGGAAAAGAAAACAGAGGAGGGTACGAATAATTGGGAGTGGGAGTGGGTTGTGAGTTGTGGTTTAAATAGGATGATCAGGAGAGGTTTAAATAGGATGATCACCTCACTAAGAAGGTGACACTGAGTCAAGATGTGAGAAGTGATGGAATAAGCATGTTTGCAGGAGAGGGAAGGAGAGGAGATAATAGACAATGATATCCGAGATGTAAGGGGTGGGGAGAGGGTGTGCATGCAGGACCTTAAATATAAGGACTTTGGCTTTCCATTTGCATTTGAATTCTTGAACCACCATTCGCAGGTTGAGGGACTTTCTGAACTCCTATTTTCTTTGTCTGTAAAATGGGAATCTCATTGACCATACAAAGCTATTTTGAGCATTGAAATGAGATCATGTCTGTAAAATACCAAGTACAATGTCTGGTATGTGGTATGTTTGCAACAAATGTTGATTCCCTTATTCCTCTCTCTGGTTATAGTTTTGTGCATTTTGTATCTAAACATACACATAAACATAGAAGGGTGGAGTCACTGACCAGTGGTTACCCAGAGGTCAGAATCCAAGTAGATTTTAACTTTATAAATAAATAATAATTTTTCCCCAAAACAATAAAAACTGAACTATCACCCATACAAACTAATAGTTTTGGAAGGTGGATTGGTGATTCAAGTTGACCAAGGAACTAAATCTTGGACATATCAGCCATGAGCAAGGATTGATAGATTAGTAGAAATGTACAGGCAAATCTCATTATTTGCTATTTCCATTGAGTGTCTATTTCAAGGTTAGAAAAAAAAAATGCTATCTGTCCTTCTGGGGGACATCTGAACATTCAAACAATACCAGATAAAATGGTCGGCTTGCAAACTTTTGAAAAAACTACTACCTGTGGGGTTGAAAGGGTATCTGTTAGATATCAACCTGCTCTGTGTTAACTTTTTTTTATATGATACTAGCAGTTTTCTTCTTATGTGGTAGTATCATTAGAGTTTCACTCTAGTTCACAAAAATCATTTTTTGGCTAAGTTTCCACTCAAACTGTTACAGAAGCTGAACATCAGTAGGGGAGGCAATTAGCCAGCTATTATGAATTTATTTAGTACATTGTTAGTGAAGGAAAAATGACAAAAACCTAAAATAATTTTTATACAGCTATACAAGTGACTCCTTTTACCTTCAGCTCATTAGTACAGTGGAATGTATTTCAAAGAAGCCACCAACACCTGTAACGCCCTCTCCTGTTGTATTATTGTGCAGTAGTCATCAGTTGATAGAGCCAACAGGAACCATTTTAATAAAAATTTTAGCGTACTCACTGTTGGAGGGCCTGAAACTATGGGAAGAACTGAAGATGGATCCCGCTCTGTAGGCAAATAGCAACTGTCCGTAAGTCATTGCCAAGACAATTAGTTATACCACCTTTGGATATTCCACTAGCCAAATGCCCTTTTAGAAGCTTTAAAAAATGTTTGCCAAAGAATTTCTCCAGGGGAACACTCTGTTGACTATCCTACAAAGTTTTTGATGTTCTTAGGTACTAATGTATTATTTGGCCTCTATCTCTGGTCTAGATTCTAGAGTTTATCAAAAATCTATACTATGCCTATTTAATCTGAAAGGGGTTTTCTTGACAAATACATATTATGATTTTTGTACCCTATATTAGATGCCCAGTAAATTATGTTGATGAGTAGAAAAATATTTTATTTTTCTACTTGTCCTGTTACAAATCAAAGATTAAACACATATATATACACATATATGGCATATTTACCTATTATTTGTAGATAACAAATTATATATATATGTGTATATATTTATACCAGTGTACACATAAAGTATGACTATTTTTTTAAAAATATACACACCAAAATTTTTAGCTGCAAATGACAGTTGCCCTTTCAGAAGTCACATAAAGAGATGATCCATTTATTTCACAGATGTAAGTAAAAGTTTTGGGAACCTTTCTCTGGGCAGTTCTCTCATCACCTCTGGCCTTTATTTTGGATATTATCATTGGTGGCAAATATTTACCATTACACAGTAGATTAGATTTCTAAAAATAGCTAAAAGTCATTTGGGACCAACCTTCTGAAATAAGCAAGTCAACAAGCTGGGTAATCCTATTTGTTACCTAAAAATATAGAGTAAGTCCATAAAGTAATGAGTTAATACTTTTTTATAGTATGGCTTATAAATTGCTTTTTAAAAAAATAAGACAGCTTTCTTGAAAATTAATTCACATACCATATAAGCCACCCTTTGAAAATATAAAATCCAATGATTTTTAGTATACACACAGATATGTGCAACCATCATCACAAGCTATTTTAAAATATTTTCATCACCACAAAGAGAAACCTTGTACCCTTTAGCCATTATCTTCCTACTTTTCACAACCTCCTCAATCCCCCAGCCCTAAGCAATCACTAATTTACTTTCTGTCTCTACAGATTTGCCTTTTCTAGACATTTCATATAAATGGAACCATATATTATATTAGTCTTTTGTGACTTGCTTCTTAGCATAATGTTTTCAAGGTGCATTAATTTTGTAGCATGTATCATTCCTATCATTTCTTTTTTTCTTTTTTTGGTGGGGGGACAGAGTCTCATTCTGTCACCTGGGCTAGAGTGCAGTGGCATCATCATAGCTCACTGTAACCTCAAATTCCTAGGCACATGTGATTTTCCTGCCTCAGCCTCCTGAGTAGCTCCTGACTACAAGTGCGTGCCACTACACCTAGCTAATTTTTCTATTTTTTTTGTAAAGATGAGGTCTCATTCTTGCTCAGGCTGGTCTTGAACTCCTAGCCTCAAGCAATCCTCCCACCTCAGCCCCACAGAGTGCTAGGATTACAGGCATGAGCTACTACATCAGGCCCATTCCTTTTTAAAAATCAATATTCCACTGTATTGATAGATCGCATTTTGTTTATCTGTTCATTTGTTGAAGGACACTTGGGAGGCTTCCACCTTTTGGCTATTGTGAATAGTGTTGATATGAACATTCATGTAGAAGTTTTTGTTTAAGCATCTGTTTTCAATTGTTTTGTGTATATACCTAAAAGTGGAATTGCTGGGGCATATGGTTAATTTTGGGTTTAACTTTTTGAGGAACAACTAAACTGTTTTCCACAGCAGCTATATCATTTTAAATTATATCAGCAATATATGAGGGTTCTAATTTCTCCATATCTTTGCAAACACTTGTTATTTTCAATTTTTTAAAAATTTATGGCCATCCTAATGGGTGTGAAGTGGTATTTCATGGTTTTGATCTGCATTTCCCTAATGACTAATGATGTTGAGCCTGTTTTCATGTGCTTATTGGCCATTTGTATATCATCTTTGGAAAAAATGTCTATTCAAGTCCTTTGCCTAAACATTTTTAATACGTACTTCCAGAAGAGGAGACCCAAATATTTTAAGCAATAGCCACACTGTTGGAACAA